CTCTCCCACCTGCACACCCCTAGGACCCTGCCTATTCTCTAAAGATTCATCTTTATTCTTTTCTCACTCCACTCCCTGGTCTACCTCCCTTTCTGCAGAGAGCACTGCTCCATTGTGTACCTCTACAAGGTTGACTTATTGGTTTCCTAATATGAAAGAAACCAGAACCAGGGATGTTGCTCAGCAGCACAACACCAAGGCCCTGAGTTCAATTCCTGGTACAAAAAAAAAAGAAAAAAATGTAGAGTTTGCCTTTCCATCTGGCTTATTTTACTCAGTATAATGCACCGCATTTACATCCATGTTGCAGCAAATAATGCATCTTGCTCTATTTATGGCTGAATGGCACTCTGCTCAGCAAATAAAGTACATTCTCTTTATTCATTCCTGTGCTAAAGGTCATCTGCTTGATTCCACACTGTGGCTATTGTTGAGAGTGCTGCAGAAAAACCTCAGGGTGCAAGTATCTTTTTGGTACAAAGAGTTCTTCTGTTTAAACTTGTGCAACCTAGTAGAATTGCTGGATGATATCACAGTTAAATTGTTAGACTCTCCATACTTTTCCCACAATGGCTATAGTAATTTCCATCACTACCAGCAGAATATATGAGTTCTTTTTTCCCATACACTCTCCAACATTTGCTATTTATTGAACTTGAATAATGGCTATTTTAACTGGAGTGAGATGATAGCTCATTGGGGCTTTGATTTGTATCCCTATGATAATTGGTGACAGTAAGGACATTTCCTGTGTTTGTTGGCCATTTGTATGTCTTCCTTTGAGAAGCATCTGTTTAGTTTTCCAGACCACCTTTTGTTTGATTCATTTGTGTAGTATTCATCCTTTAAAGTCCCTTAACTATTCAAATCCTTAAAGTCCCTTAACCAATGTCAAATCCTTGTTAGATTTAGCCTTTAGAAATATATTCTCATGTCCTGCAAGATTTTTGAATTCTGTTGACTCTTTTCCTAGTCTGCTTCTCTGCTGTTTTTTTTTTCCTGCCAATGTTTTGACGGCAGTGTTTTGTAGTCTTAAAATATTCTTGCCTTCATTTCCAGACTATCAAAAGAGAATTACTCAAACAATAAAAGCCATCTTCCTTTAGATCAGTGAGGGTGAAACTTTTGATCCCTGGCTAGGCAAGGTCAACACCCACCCTCATCCTGAAGTGGCTATAACAAGGCAGACCCTCAGCACCTCTGCTTTCCTTCCTTCCTCCTTCCTTCCCTCACGCCATCCCTCTCTTCCTTGCTTCCCTTTTTTCCTTTCTTTCTTTCCTTCTTTCCTTTTTGTTTTTCTAAGACAAGGTCTCAATATGTAGTTAAGGGTAGCCTTGAACTCACTACTTAGAGGGCCAGGGAGACTTTGAACTCGCAGCTATCCTCCTGCCTCAGCCTCCTGAGTCCTGAGTTTATAGGAGTGCTCCACCACATCCACCTTGCTCTCTGTCTCTTAACAATAAAGAGTCTAAGATTGGGGGTGGGTGAAGCAGAATAGAATAAATAAAGATAGGTCCTCCCTGAAAGGAGACAAAAAACATCATAATTTTAAAAAAAGAAACAGCAACTTCAGGGCACAGGCCAAGGTTCTTGTTATTGTTTGTTTGTTTTGTCTTCTCTTCATACACAGTAAGGCTGGCCAATTTTCTTTTAAATGCAAATAGGCCTTGCTTACTTGTGAATAGACTGTCTTTTTCACCTGCAAATATTCTTTTTCCTAAGAATGGCCATTATCTTCTGTGAATGGGCCATCCTTTGCCCATAAGCCAAGTCCCAATACAGAACTTCCTATGCAGTCTCCACCCTCTTGAGAGAAATATAAACCTTTACAGTTTGTGGAAATAATGTGCCTCTCTTTCTTACAGCACTGTACTCTATTTCTTTGAATGTTCACTTTTAAGTTTCTGCATAATAAAACCTTTATACCTCTTAAAAGCAAGAAACTTTTCTTTAATATTAATTTTTTCCAAATATTTCTTGGCAATTTGAATGTTTCACTAAATGCTTTTAATAAATTCTGGACATTTTTCATATTTTAAATATTGCCTCTATACCACTCACTTGAACTTTTAACAGTTGCAAACATGCGATCTAAATATACTGAAAGCTTTCCTCTTGTGTGATAGGTCTTCGAATTCCAGTTGACTGCTGAAGATATGAATGTCATAGATGGCCTGCACAGAAACTTGCGATATCTTCCTGCTGAGTTGTGAGTCATT